ATACAAACTATTTTCTGAGACCAAAATTGAGACATATAGTTTGACAACTAGGAATGAACCCATTAGGAGATGGTACAGAATATTAGAATTTTGGATAGAAACTATGATTACTCTTATGATGTACATTTCTCTTTTGTACCTTGAAGGATCCACAAAAAGTCTCCTTGGGATCCCCAAACACTTGACAGATAAATGCAAAACCAGGCAGAGCAAGCCAGTGGTGTTAGGCTGTCTGATTCTGAAGCTGTTTTTATCTCACCCGTTCATCCTACTATCAGCCAAGGATCCCTGCTTCATGGGTATCTGTCAGTATGGCAAGAAAGAGCAAAGATTAATTCAACTTTCAAGTTTCTTTTAAAATGCTCATTTATCTAGGTCTTTGCTTAGTAGAAAAAAGTATATACATATATATTTTTTAAAGTCTAGGTCAGCAAAAATCTGAATATGCAGTTTTTTAAATGGTAAGAGTCGGGTTTTTCACTGTACACATTTTTACCTCAGTGTGCTCTCTGTAAGGTCTTGCTACTTTCCAAACAGAAAGTGCATAACCTATTTGTTTTAAGTAAGCAGAGAGTTAATTTCCTAAGAGGTTAAATAAATGGGATGGCAGATGGTCATTTGGGAGGTTACCTGCTACTGGTTGGGGGAAGGGGCCCGAAACATTCTAACAGTCAACCAGATGGTAAAAGCCAGTCCTGGCCAAAGTGGTGAGTAGGGTATGAGCTCCGCTCCTCGGAGGGAGCTACTTGCGAAGCAGTAACTTACACCTGCTAACATCTGGAATGATTTATCTTCATGTCATTAAGAAATACAGGCTAGTCTAATTGAACACAGTGCAGTTACAACAGCCCACAAGAAGTACAGAGAGACTGAGAATTTTAACATTATGTTGCATAAACTTAATAGTATTTACCATTTGCCAAACATTATTCTAAGTACATTTATTACTTATCTTAAGCCTCACCATAGCCCAATAAAGGAGTAACTTTTTATTATCCCCATTTTACTGATGGGAACACTAAAGCACAGAGAGATTACATATCTTGGCCAAGATTGCAGAGCTGGTAATTCCTGAAGCCAAGGAATCTTAAGCCAGAGCCCATGTTCTCAATTCTAAAGAGTTTTTTGGCTTGTATAAAAAGCTAAAAGGGTTCAACTGAAATGCAGAGAAAAAACGTATATAAAAACATACTCATTGTGACATTAGCTGTACCACTAAAAAACTGGAAACAATCTAAATGTCCACCAACAGGACAATTAGTAAATAAATCATGGTAAAGTTATTATAATGAAATATTATCCTGCCATTATAAATATTTATTTTAAAATGTTTCATGACTTGAAATAATGCTGCTAATGTAATGCTGAGTTGGGGGAATAGAGTATAAAATTATATTTATATTACAATTCCTATTTATTTATGTAAAAAATAAGTTCATGCAAATGGAAGGACATTCTCAAAAAGAAACAATGGCTATTTCCAGGTGGTGGTACTAGGGGTGTTTATACTTTCTGTGTTTTCCACAATGAACATGCACTGGCCTACTATCAATGTAAAAAAAGGGCATTTTTTTTTTCTTTTAATCAAGCTACACCAAGATCCTTCAGCAGTTGGAAAAAACAGCTAAAAAGCTCCTACTGTTAACTTCCAAGTAGTTACTTTCCCTGGGATAATGCCCCTGAACATCAAACAACATACTGTAGTCAGCACATACCAAAAAGTATGCTCATCTTTAACTCCAGAAATGGAATTAAAATGAGTATTGTCAATTTTTGGTCAATGTTTACTCTCTATTTACTTGTACAATTATTTTGTAACAAGAAAAATGGATTTAACTATTTACAGGCCAAAAACTCAAAAATGGCTTTGCTGAAATAGATAATTAGGGACAAAAGTTTGACTTTGGAGGAAGAACAGCTGTTGCTAATCCAACTATTTACCCTTTGACCTTCTCTTGGCCAATGACTGAACAGTATCAATTGTTTTCCTGTATTATGTGCTGTTTACAATCCCTGAGAGGCATGAAAGGAATTAATAATTTAGCCTAGAAAGCTGACAGCCTTTACTGGGGAGCCCCTTGTCTGTGGGACAAAAATCAGAGCTAGTAGCTGTCCTCAAGTCACAGGTCCCTTTACTGTTCCTGTTTTATAACCTAATTGGCCCCCAAACATAAATCAATTATTTCTCCTGTTTTAAGCAACAATGACTTCCATTCGCTAACTTCCCTTGTATCAAGTCAGTCCTTGTTCTCTCGAGTTTTACAACTATATGGTAAACATGGTAGCTGAGGAAAAAAACTTGGGGAGCAGGACAGACGGGTTATTTGGAAACAGAAGCACAGAAAGGTTACGCTATTTTGAACTTCTCTTGACCTTTTACTGCCCTTGTCCCTAGCTTATGCTAATAGGCAGGGTACAGAGATGCTTCTTGTAGAAATGAACTTAGCCTGATCCTGTGCCCTAACATTGGACTCCAAGAAGCCCAGGAATCATAGTAAGGCAGCCAGAGTGTGAACAGCTGCCCATATTACAAACATGGCTGGCTACCTACCTGCTCTATAGCAGAAAAGGTGCCCCCCAAAAAAGGTCATTTGAGTTGGACAAAGTTAGTCCTTCCTCATCTAGTTCCAACACATCCCACCTGTTGTCTCAAACGTACTGTCTATAACCACTGCCAGGCACAATGGGAAATTAGCAACAATGGTATTTCCTGTTCCAAATTAAACAAGTATGAGCAGGCTTTCCCTATCAGGAATTCCAGAATTAGGGAATTCCAGAATTATGGGACCTCTAAATTCCCAAGATGCATCACAAAGAGATCCCTATCGTTCTCAATTTTATGTGCAAAAATCATGAAGTATTAACATAGGAGATGTCCTTTCTTCCCAGGCAGAGGCCAAGGAATCTGCAGTATCAACAACTTACAAACAATTGAACGCAACACACACAGAATATCTTAGTCTTGAGATTTTTTCCATCATTCAGTAGTTAGGCTAAGCATGCTCATTTGAACCTCAAGACTAGTTCAAATCAAAATAAGTTTTTATTTCTGCCTATTATAATAACATCAGGCCTTCATGCATCTTTTGAAAGAATAAAAATACTACTAATTTCACAAAGATAATATCGGTATTATTGAGAATACTAGCCACATAAGCTAAGCTCAACTTTTAAAAGAAATGTGACTTTTTTTTTAGGTGATGCCTATTCTGTACTAATGTATTTGTTCATTCTCCTGGAATGGAGAGGTCTATAAATCATCATATCGAGGTAGAGATTCTATGCAGAAATGTTAAATGATTTAGAATCAGTTGGTCCAGAGAGATTATTCAAAAACAATCTTATGAAAACAACATAAGAAGAAGGGCATGATCTGTTTTCAATTGCTACTAAGTGCAGAAAAGGAGAATAAGTTTGGGTACTATGTGCTAAATTAGTCTACTTTAAAAAATATTTTTTCAAATAATTCCAGAAAAGAAAATATTTTCCAATAGACATTTAATGCATGAAGGTTGGACCCAGACTTATTTATGTTATCCCTGGAGCACAGAAATGGGCCTGGAGCAAAGAACAACACTCAATATTTCACTTCTCAATTATCTGGAATGTTTTATATGTGGTTTTGTCTGAAAGATTATAGGACATCTTAATGACCTTCCTAGTGTACAGAAGTGCTTCTAAGAACTGTAACTCAAGACTATAAGAGAACAAAAAGAAAATACTGTAGCATGTGCACACATAGGTACTGGAATTTTGGGCGGCAGAGCAGGGTAAACTGAACCTATACTACCTACAAAACTGATTCTCAACTTTCCAACTTCTAGAAAGACAAATCTATGCCCCTGGTGTTTGATAAGCATTCTGGGATTTATTTTGTGTTGCAAATAATAAGTATTAGTCGAACAAACACAAATGTTTATTTATACTATTAAGATGTGGGAGATACTATTAAATATATGAGAAGGTCCACGGCATCACAGAGATGACATCAGCCAGGATGGTGAGAAGGTGAACTGTAGCAGTTGACCCAACAGGAGATTGACAAGAAGCCAGTTCCATGACCCTAAAAGGTACCAGAACTCAAAAATAATTCTAGATCATCTCATGGAATCTCAATCTAAATCATCGTTAGACTTTTTGGCATTATAGCAAAAACACTGGATATTCCCACATCCTATTTCTAATAGTTATAACAATATCCAAGAATTATGTGTGCCACATTGTGAGAGCACTGGAAACACAGGTGATTATCGATGATCAAGACCTACACAGTCCTGAAAAACATCGTTTACTGAGACCTTGAAATGGTTACTTTCATATCTTAACCTTAAGAATGTACATGAAAGTGCTTCAGAAATTAAATTCTGGCATAAAAGTTATCAATTTTAAATGTCTACCAGGTGTGACCAACCTTTTGGTGTCTCTGGGCACACTGGAATAAGAGTTGTCTTGGGCCACACATTAAATATACAAAAAAAAAATTTTAAGTGAATTTACAATTTCGTGTTTGTAGGCATTCATAGGCATTCTGGGCCGATGCAGCCTGTGGGCCATGGGATGGACACCCCTGGAAACCAAATACAACCTGTCTTTGAAAGAAATCATGTCAAAACTAGTCAATACTTTAGAAAAGTGGCTGTGAGTATATGGTTGTATGTGTGCAAAAATGAAAGCACAATGTTTATTGTTACTGGTTTCATGGGAGGATGGGTGGACAAGGCAAGGAAATTAGAATCAAATGGAAATTTTCAACTAACCAATTTTCTGTGAAATGGCTTGATCGTGGCCACTAAATAATATCAGAAGAAAAAGAAAATATAACTAGAAAAGATACAATGCCCTCCCCATAATAATAAATTAAAGTGAATACTAAGTGAATCAATAAGACCCATCAATGACACCTTCAGTAATACATTTAAAAGTACACACACACACACACACACACACACACACACACGCCCTTTTCTAGTCACGAACACTGGGGAATATTCAGAACTTACTACTTCCTGGGTCGAGCTCTGTCAATTCATCCTGACAAAAACCTACAGAGAAAACAACAGGAAAAAATGGTTATGATTTGTGAATTACTCAAAGGTGACTCCAAATATGAAAATGCAAATATCATATAGTATTTCAAAAGTCTACATTCATTAGTCAAATCTGGATTTAAATCCTAGTTCTATAACATTGAGCTACTAGCTCTCTCTCTCTGAGTTTCTATTTCATTAACTTGATATTAAAAAATGGGTAAGGAACCAAAAAATGGATAGTAAAAGCATTTACCACAGAGTAGTAATGAGGATTAAGTGAGATTCTAATATAAAATGCTTCTTTAATACAGTCCTTGGCACACAGTGGGATCTCACCAAATGAAAGCACAAATAATTATGAGTAAGCATGCACTATTAGTTGGAATAAAAATTTATAGAAAAATTTCAACTCATTTAATATCTGTCATGTGCTACTTAATCATTTTCCAAAAGAAAGCAAAATATACTAAATATGAACTCACAACAAATACAGAGTGATTTTACTTAAAAATTTCACAGATGCTGAAGAATTTTACTTATAAAAAAGAGCAAGTCTTCTATTAGTAGGTGTGGTATTCGGTTAGGGATGAGCACCCCGCAAAGCACGTCTCGGGCCCAGAAAGTCTGAGCTACCTCCAGCTGCCGGAAGTGCGACTGTGACTGCACTGAGACACCAAGCACGGCCAATGGCAGAGTGAGGGCTCCGTACAGAGCTGACAAGCTCTTTTCTCCTGTAATGACTGCCTGCTTTCTCCAGTTTGCTTTCTACTCATTATCAGTCCAAGTATTTCCTCAGAAAGCTTTTTCTTCCCTCTCTTACCTTTGTCTCAAAAGGTCAAAGGGCCATTATAATTTTTTATAATAATTTGTGTACTCATCAACAAGGAATTAATTACTTGTTCAATGTCCGATTGACTCCACTATTAGAATGTTCTACAGGGGAAGGGACCTGACCTGTCTTGCTCACCACTGTATCCCCATTACCTCTCACAAGCCTAGCACGAAGTAGCTGTTCAATAAACACCAACTGTAGTAGTATCTCAATGGTAAATTTGAAAATTTGGAGCAAGGCCTGGCCAGGTAGCTCAGTTGATTACAGTATCGTCCTGATACCCCCAAGATTAAGGGTTCAATTCCCCACTCAGGGCACATACAAGAGTCAACCAATGAATGCATAAATAAGTGGAACAACAAATCAGTGTTTCTCTCCACTCCCCCACCCCTTCTTTCTCTCTCTTTCAAATCAATAAATTTTAAAAAGTTTATGGAACAGCCCTGACTGGTGTAGCTCAGTGGATTGAGCACAGGCCTGAGAACCACATGATCATGGTTTGATTCCCAGTCAGGGCACATGCCCGGGTTGCAGGCCAGTTCCCAGCAGGGGATATACAAGAGGCAACCATACATTGATATTTCTCTCCCTCTCTCCTTCCCTTCCCCTCTAAAGATAAATAAATAAAATCTTTTTTAAAAAACTTTTTAAAAAGTTTATGGAACAAAATTAAGACTAGAGGGATATGAGAGCATTTTCTGTCATCAGAGCTGGGCAACCAGGGAGTCAGGCAGAGAAGAATTCAAGTTGCAGGAAAACTGTTTAAACAACTTTGAAAAGTCCTTTGCAATCCTGAATGTTTTGGCCACACCATTCACCAAACATGCCACATCCCTTCTTGCCTTCCTGTGCTTCCTCCTCCTTCTCTACTTGGTGAAGAACTATTCACACCTCAAGGTCCAGTTCAAATATCACCACCATGAAAGATGGAAAAAAGCAGCAGCCCCTCCTACACTCACCAAAAGATAAAGGAATGATTTAAGTATCTGTCCCCTCTACCAGACAGTGAGCTCTTCGAGGAGAGCGATGGTGCCATCTCCATCTGTGGAGCTGCCCCTAGGACTAGAACAGTCTGCCGATATTCTACAGAAGATCCTAAGGAGCAGGATGAACCAAACAGAAAGCACAAGCCTGCCCGTACATCACAGATGGAGGGAAGAAAGTCACAGAATCAGAGAAGTGTAGTCTAAAAAGTGTGTGGAAGGTATAAGAGAGAAAATATGACCTAAAACCAGACTTGGGAAGGTGCTAAAAAACGTGGCTGAGATGCCTGAGAAGGTCACCTCAGAACAACTTTAAAGTCTTTCCACATAAAGGCAATGGAAATAGGGAAAGCTGTGCGAGATGCCAGGCAATGAGGAAATAACTCGTCATTACACAGGGGTTCAATACTGCCATTTGAACATCCTGCCAGAAGTGCAACTGAGAACAAACATTCATTTAATATGAACTGACTCAAAAATAGGACAAAAGCATGGAAAGGCAGGGTCGTATAATGATATAAAGTTAAACCTCTCCTAAGTTCTCATCCAAGCCATTTTTAAGTTTAGTTATATGACTTTAAGCAAATAATACCCTAATTTGGACTTTAGGTTCTGAACATTAAATGAAAGGGCTGTAACAGAAGTCTCAAGGAAGCACAAAGCATTTTCTGAAAGCAAACAACATTCTGAACTCAAGAGTAACTAGATAAAATACAAGGAGTGACTAAAAAAAACAAAGAAAATCCTAAGAATAGCTAATTGGCCATCTAGTATTTGCCTAGCAACCACTCTCCCATTCTTCTGTTAATGGCATCCCGCTTTTTCTTTGCAGACCTGTCCCTTTTATACTCTCAGTCCATATGCCCCGAGTAAGATGGACCCTAACATTACTATAAACAAGGATGAATAACAGCATCTACCTTACAGCTCTGTTAAATGAGATGGTATATGTAAAGGCTTTGCACAGTACTTGTAAAGTCAGAGCTACTACTAACTAATCCCTAGGGTCCATCCAATCCAGTGCTGTGTTTTCAGTAGCAAAGAGCAGATTAAAGGAGGCTAACTACTGACCTATTCATGACATCATCCTCAAAGACCCGGGATGGAACATCACTAATGTCCCTTTAGTTACCTACTCTGATTCTTCAATCTTTTTTACATGTTAAGCCTATAAATTGCTTGATGTCATAATTCCAGATCTATTCCACCTCCTGAGGAAAAAAAGAACTCTCTATATTTGCCTTTACAAATTCCTTTCATGGTTGCAAAGAGTGTGTATTATGGAATTCAGTAACTATGCCTAAAATCCCCACCCAGCCCTGAGACCACTGGCCAATAGTGTTGTCCCTGATTTTACAGGTCAGCGCTACAGCAGGAGGCCTGAGGAGACACAGAACGATGCTACTCCCACCTCCTGATGACAAATAAGTTAACAGAATGGCTAGATCTGGCTATCATTCCCTAAGTTTTACCCAGATCCTCAGCAAGCAGATCCAGCTAGCAAAATGATTCCTAACTAGAAGAGTCCACATCACTGCTGGGAGTAACCCAACGCGTGTTCAATTCTATTCAACACAAGGGCAAAGGATATTGGAGTTGTTCAGTAAAAAGCATACTCCTAAGCCCCATCAATACACAAACATACACTCAAAACCATCTGCCTCACAGAATACAACACATTAAACAGATCAGGAAATGTGCTCAGAAATCCGAGGTCTTTGGTTGGTGACTTAAATAGTTTTAAAAGAGGATAGACAAGAAACACAAATTGGTTCCTAAGAAGATATATTACCAAGTCAGCATGCTCATAAGCCATCTGAAATCGAGTGCAAATTAACTTAGCACATTTTAACTTAGAAGGCAAGGCATCGGTCTGAGTAGGAGTTGGATTCAAATCCCAGATTTACCACTGTTTTTATTTTATTAACTACCCTGTGCCTATTTTTCCTGAAATGGGGGCAAAATAACTTGTTCAACTGTCGTGAGAGCTGGAGGATATATATAAATCATCTACTTCAGGGCAAGTGATTGATAAATGGCTCTAAGTCTAAAAAATTTCTTTAATTCAAAGAAACATCCAGTTGACAAGCTTTTCTCCAACAGGTATTTGGCAAAAAGAAAAAAGATCAGTGACTCCTCAATCTGTGATTGGCTACAGTGACAGGTTACAAAGTGACTTACACTGCCCTGACTGGTGTGGCTCAGGGGGTTGGGTGTCATCCTACAAACCAAAAGGTCCCCAGGTTGACTCTCAGTCAGGGCACATGCCTGGGCTGTAGGTCAGGTCCCCTGTTGGGGGCATGTGAGAGGCAACCAATCTATGTTCCTCTCACACATCAATGTTTCTCTCCCTCACTACCCCTGTATCTAAAAATGAATAAATAAAATCCTTTTTAAAAAGTTACTTATCTTTTTCTTTACTACTGTGACTATATAAAATTATGAATTTACCACAATAGAACCTTAAACCTTTTGACTTTAGTTTTCGTTTTGCCAAATGTGAATAAATAAAAATTTATGGGTAATACCAGTAAGCAAATTCAAGCCTGACACACTACCTAACCGTAATCTGTAACGTGTCCTTTATAGAAGAAAGTTAAATGTCACTCCAGGAAGGCTTCGATTTAATCGGACGGCAGTAAGGCAGCACTGTCCAACAGAGACCTGGACGTTGGTCAGGTCTCTGTCTATTTTGGAGCCTCAGCAGCCAACAAGCAAAATTATGTGAGACCCTTAAAAGGTAAAATTCTACAATTATAATCAAACATCCTACCTTTCCCAAACAGAAAATGTTTTAGTTGTTGTTATCGTTGTTTAATTTATTGACTTTAGAGAGAGAGAGGAAGGAGAGGGCAGGAGGAGAGACAGACAGACATCAATCTGTTGTTCCACCCGTCCGGGCATTCACTGGTTAATGGGTCAAACCCACACCCTGGGCATATGGGGACAACGCTGTAACCGAGATACTGGCTCGGGTCCCCCAAATGGAAATTACACGTATCCTTACATGACCTGCCACTTCAACTTTATTTCTCTCTTCTCACCCCATCCCACCACAGTGTATATATACTCTACCCATACTGAACTGTATAGGCATACCTCATTTTACCACACTTCCCTTCACTGAGCTTCAGAGAGGTTGCCTTTGTTAGAAATTAAAAGGAAGAGCGCCTCCCCCCCACACCCCCGGGAAAAGA